ATTATGATATTATTAATATTAAACAAAAATTTTTAAAATCATTTCTGATTAAAAAAACACTGGTCATTTCATTTCTATAAAAATTTCTAATATTACTGTTTTTAATAATTCAATTTTAATGAAAATGTAAATCTTTTATCAAAATTTGTTCCATTATAGGTACTTTTACCTTATAGCAGTTATATTCTGTCTTTGCTGGGTATCTTCTCGTGAAGATGAAATAAAAATTCATTTCTTGATATTATACTTAAGTGCATCAGCAATCCACGCTATGATAAAATACGCATGGTTTGCCTCGAAACTGATCAGCAACCAGACGATTTTTTTAAATGTGAACGAGATATGCTTTACTATGTCATTATTAATACACAAATGTTTTTGCGGCAACAGAGGTTTCATACAGTGTGCCTAGTGCAAGTCAATATTATGCTTTACTTGTTTTTATGATAATTACCACCCGAAACAATGTAAATATACAGAAAACGAATAATCACTATTGTACATTATTTTTTTAAAATTATATGTAATTATTCTTACTTGTAATTTGTATTTTCAAACACATACATAAAGTAACTAAGTTATATTACAACCACATATTTTTACTTGTAACAATTATAATATTACATAAAAGTAACAAGTTACATATCCAATATAAACTATCAACATAACAACTGTTACATTACTTGTTACTTCTAGATAATATAACTGTTATAAAGTGTGTTTTAGCGGAGAATTTTAAACTAAGTGAGAAATAAGGTTAATATTGCTCTTCTGATTGACTTAATTTATTGGAGTTACCAAAAGGAGCCGGAGATCACACCTCATTTCTCACTTAGTTTGATTCTCCGCTGGCTAAAAGATGCGTGACAACAGTACAATACAAACAAACACATTCTTCACCTTCATAGAAATATATTTCGGAAGATCTGCCAAACATTTAATAAAAGATTGGATTCAATCAAAGTACCGTATTATCAACACCTCTCTATAAAACAAATTTTTAAGAAATTGCGCTAAATCGAACATCATACCTAAACACATCTCCAACATCTGGTCAACAATACCTAAACTCAAGTATTACAAAAATAATCAAAAACTAAACACCACAATTAAGCAATTACAATCAAAAATTCTAAAGTTAGAAATAAATGATAATTACAGAATACTGAAACAACTAAACTACAAAATAAATAATACCACTAGAGATTTATACAAACTAATTTCTAATAATATCCTAAACAGTTTTTTCATTTCTAGAGAAAAATCAATAAATAAATTCTATAACCAAAAAAATACACTCTCAATAAAAAAATATCATTAATAAAAGACAAAGAATTAAAAAAAAATTACACCTATTAAATATTACGCAAATATAAAAGATTCCACACAAAATAATAATACATTAAAAAAGTTTACTTTCCACAAAAACATCGAATTCCACTTAAATCCTCCTAACACAGAAATTACAAACACAATCCTAATTAACATCGAACCACACTACTATCAACAAAAGAAACTGTTTGACATCGAATTAAATGATAGTTGGTTTGTCAATCTCACTAACACATTTATACCTAAAGAAGTCACACAATTGATAAAACTAGGAAACAAATTCTGTCTACCAGTAAAAAATATAAAAAACAAAGTAATTATAAAAATGATAAGAGATGTTGAAAACAACATTAAAAAACTAGACCCTTTAATGAAAACATATATACGTAATGAAACATTTTCTCACCTCAATAAGTTTCTAAAAGATGACAAACCATTGACAAATTTTGAAAAAAATCTATTTAACAAAACAAGAATTACACACAAATTTTTAAAAAATAATCCTAATATTCTCTTTACAAGGGCCGATAAAAGCAATACCACAGTAGCGATTACAAAGGAAGACTATATCAATAAAATAACAGATATGCTAAAAGATATTACAACATATTCAATCATCCACAAAAACCCCATTAACAAAATAAAAAACCAACTTAGAGACATATTAAATGATTGGAAAAATAAGAATTTCATAAACCAACACACAAAATATTCACTCATGTCAAGCGATTCCTTATTACTTAGAGCACACGGCGTACCCAAGATACATAAGCAGAACAATCCATACAGAATAATAGTATCCACAATAAATAGCCCTCTACACTGCATAGCCACATACCTCTACAGAATTATATATAAAAGCATACCTATTCTCTGTAATTAACAGTTTTCATTTATATAATACAATCACTGGAATGAAGTTGAACGATAATTATATCATTTGCTTCTTAGACGTAATATCTATGTTCACAAATATATACCTATTGAACTTGCTCTAGACAACGTAGCAAATAGATGGAGATTTATCAAATTAAATACGAAAATTAACAAACAAGAATTTATAATGGCCGTCCAATTTGTATTGTCGTCAACATATTTTACTTTCAGCAATCAGATTTATAAGCAAACTTTTGGCACCCCCATGGGTTCACCAATGTCGCCATTGCTGACATCACCTTACAAGATCTGGAACTGAAAGCATTAGATACAATGAAATTTAATATACCAATATATTACAGATATGTTGACGACATAATAACTATACCGAAAGACAAATTGGACAAAGTTATGAGCACGTTCAACTCTATCAACGATAGATTACAGTTCACATATGAATCACAAGAAAACAATGTACTCAATTTTCTCGATATTAGCATCATAATAGACAAAAATAAGTTGGTTTGTAATTGGTATCACAAACCAACATTTTCCGGTCGATACATTAATCATTATTCATACAACTCAATTACTCAGAAAATAACAATTTATTCATTAGTAGAGAGAGCTATATTATTGTCATCCAAAGTTCTATAAACAGAATCTACAACAATGTATTAACATCTTAATTAATAATAATTACCCCATACAACTAATTTTCGATCAAATAAATAAGAAATTGAGAATATTGTTTTCAACAAAACTAAACAATCATAAGATAAACGTTAATGATATACCTCTCTGACACAATAATATAGAAAAACCGTTTTATTTTGTCATACCTTTTATAGACAATAACAATAAATTTAAAATAAAAAATAAATAATAACACGACATTCAAACCAGCTTATAGAAATTTAAATCAATTGACAAAATTTATTAAAACCCACAAGGACACTATATCCCAAAAAAATCACAATAACGTTGTATATCGCATCGCACGTGAACAATGCGATGCAAGTTACGTCGGACAAACAAAGAGACAATTAGCCACCCGACTGAAAGAACACAACAATTATATTAAGAAAAACAAACAGAAACTTCCGTTTTAGCTAAACATGCAATAGAAACAGGACATAAATTTAATTTTGAATCACCAAAGATACTAGAATGATACATGTTAAAAAGCAGAGGGAGAGTTTGAATCTGATGAAAGACACAGAACTATTAAATGAAACATATTTACCGATAATTGATAAATGTGAATACTAACATATACTTAGATGGTAGTCGCTCATCGGATTCAAACTCCTCAGTCAGTTACAAACTACACGACAAACATGACTCAAATATTTTCTGTACCTGTAATTCGTCAAGTTTTTGATTTTACATATAACAACTACTTTTAAATTTGAGTTTTCTGACAATCACATATGACAATTTTATAATTAACGGTATGTAAGCACACACAATTTGTTAATTGATAATCCATTTATTTGTATAACCGATTGTAAAAAAACATTTTAGATTGATAAGAACTTAAAAATAAAGTCGAAACGTCTCAATTATATTCTCTACTTTTTTACGGCAAAACATCTTGCCACGGCTCAATATTGCCCTTCTGATTGACTTAATTTATTTTTTTGAATTCTATTAATATAAATAAATAGAGGATAGAGCCAAGAAGCAGTTAACAACAAGAATTAAAGAACATACTATCAAGAGGCACGGTAGTGCCTCGCGCCAAGTTTCACGCGCAACGAAGTTGCGCTCGAACTGCGCGAGCACACCGTGCCTATTATACGCGAGATTCATGCAAAATAGAAGTAGGNCTGTTTTTACCTTTTTTTAAAAAGGTAAGTTTTTAGAGTATCACACACTTTATATTTTGTTCCTTAGAGTAACATTAAACGTGACACTTCAAGCCTATCTGTTATCTCGAAACATATTGTAGAATACAACCATTCTTTTGATTGAGATAATACACGAATCTTGGATTATGAGTCAAATTTTTGCAAGAGATTCATCTCAGAAACAATCCACATAAAAAAACAATCTCACGATCTTAATTTGATTAACGATTTGGATATGTTAAATCGATCATATTTCGACCTTCTAAATAGGATGAAATAATTCAAATTTAACGTGTTTTTCTCCCTTCTACTGGCAATCTTTATAGAGGGAAATCACCTATAAATATACTGCCTTTCGTACTGTTCACAACATTTGACTGTAAATTCTAAAACTGTTTTCCGAGTAAGCGTTTCGACTATAACTCACTGCGTACACTGTATCTTTATTACTTACTTTATATTTCTTTATTTTTTTTTAATTTTTAATTCATAGTGATTTGTCAGTTTTATCTTTTATTTCAACCACTGATACTGCCTTACAATGACTAATTAGAGAAAACAGATCACAAACAGAAGACGATGTTTGAAGGTAGGATCATTCCAAAATAATATTAAAACCGACGTAGATTGAAGAAAAATATTCCATCACCACACATGCGTGTTCATACTGCGTCTTACTATTGCGATTATTCTTTTTAATCAATAAGAAAGTTTCTTTTTAATCAATTTATAACGCTACTGATGAGAGCTCAAGTTAGAGCAAGAAACGTTTAGCACCATTCTATGTGTCATTAAATAAAAATACATATTATTATATCATTAAATGAAAATACATATTATTATATAAACCTTGTGTTTTTCTTGCTCGATTAAGACCTTTTACTATTTATATTGGTTGTTATCACAAAACGAGCGGTTTCTGTTATTACTTTTTTAAATAGAGGATTTTTTTAATGAAATTTTTTTGTCTAAACATTTTTCAATATCTCCAATAATTTTCGAGATTAATTGAGAAAAGTAAGAAGTCGCTCTACCTATGAGAGGTGATTTCACTCCGTTTTTTAGCAGCAACGGAAATTGTCAATATTTATCTATTGATCCCTTTTACATGTGTGCAAAGTTTCATCAAAATCAGAATTTTCGAGTTCGTGAGGTTCCCTTGTAAGGCTGGAGGCGTCAGATATACACACAAATGCATAAGTACGATGATTAGCGCGATGACAAAAACAATTATGTTTAAGTCAACTTTAATTCAACTTTCAAAGCCATCTAATTGTCGGCAAATAGTCAACTCTAGTCAACTTATAGTCGACTTTTGAAAATCAACTTAAAGTCAACTTTTGAAAGTCGACTATAAGTTGACTAAAAAAGATCGACTATAAGTCGACAATCACTCGTGTTGTGTGGGAGCTTTTTTACTTCTACGGTTATAAGCACAATAAGAAAAACAGTGAATTTTAAACGATTATATTTACCAAACTACTGTAAGGCAAGTCACAGTCACAAAAAGAATCGAAAAATTTCAGAAAATTTTAGTACAAAATAACCACATCTGATTACTGAAAAAAAGAATATAATGTTTAATAATTTACAACTGCGACTAGAAATTACAAACGAGCCGAATGTGACTCAAATCGATACTCACAAACATATGCTGAATGTTTCCACTTTGAAGCTGGCAGTTTGACTGCTTGCTCAGCGATTTTGTGTAAGCTTGTTGCCTCTGATCAGAGATGCCAGTTTTGAGACGCTTGCAGCAGCAAGTGGAGAGGATACACACACAGGCGAACAGCCGTGTACGCTCGGCGCTTCAGCCAACTTCGAGCAGTAGAAAGAGACGGACTAAAAGCGGAATAAAAAGCACATCGTTACGTATTTGATAACGTTCTAATTATAGATCAAAGACCAAAGTTTATTAAAAGTGTTGCTATGGCATTCTTTCTACTGATACTTTACACTCTTATTAATAATCACCGTTCAGCGCGTTGTTATCTGCAAGTCAGCTATCGTATATTACGCTTGGAAGTTTTGCTCATTATATAGCGATTGTGGAAAAATACTGTAAAAAAATAATAATGAATGCAGAATAGTGAGTGAATTCTGCCTATACCTTAATTTAATTATATCCAAGATATTCGATCTTACAACTATATTATTTACATATTATTTTGCCTTATGTATGAAAGTACAGTGTTTGTTGCCAAAGTGCTTCATAAGGGATCAATGATTTGTTGTAATGTTTTAATAAACGATACAAAAATAATTATATTTTATGGGTTTTGTGTTTGTTTTATATCCTTAATAATCGGTAGTTTATAGTATAACATAGTTAAAAGAAAAAATTTTATTAATATAATTATTAATGAGTTTTAAGGCTTTTGAAAATCAAACGTGAAATTTTCTGTCAATGAAAGCCATACGCTGGGTGTTTATCCAGAAAAGTTATTTACCAGTTTGCAAAATTCGCAATAGTTATTGAGATATGAATTATTAATAAATATATTAATAAATGTGAGCCAATGAGCGCAAGGAGAGCACTGATCGGACTTTATAGGTGTGCACAATTATCAGCTGGAAAAAAAATAGTTTCTCTCATGCAATGTCTTAGCAACAAGAGGCGGAGTAAAGAAACAAGTGCGACGCGACTCAGCTTCTTCCGATCGGGCGTTATTCGGCGGTACGTCAGTGTTCCGATATTGGAGANGCTGTACGCGCATGCGCGGCGTTTATAACGTCACAAAAGTATTTAAACCAAGTAATATGGGGTACTGTCACTGGAACCGATTATTTCATTTAAAATTTAAAACAAAATGTAAATATAAAGATGACACACGTTTATAATACAAAATATATATTTACATAAAGTTAGTTATTACTAATATAATTGAATTTATTACTATTATCTTATTATATTACAAATATAAAATATACAATAATATACA